TACCGCCATTCAACCAGTAAACTAGTAGATTTCCCTGGTAATGTTATCTTGATTAAAACAGGCAAACCATTTAGATTTATTAGTTTGACTGGCTTGGTATTTCTAGTATCTACAATGTTTTCCTTTTCAAAATGAACTTTTTAAACAAAACAACATTCTTCACATCTAGAATAAACATTCTGGATGTCTAGAAATTAATGTCAGATCTACGTATTCCTACTGTTACTGGTTATAGTTTGTATTATTTGGATCAGAAATAAACATTTCACATATCATAAATATATTCAGTCAAGCTGATTCATGTCAAAATGGCCACATATATTTAAAACGTAACTCTACTAGCACAATTTTGTTTTTTACTTTCTGAAACTCAGCTTCTGCTGCAAACATGTAATTTAGAAAATCTGTTACAGTTCTGTCTAGGAATGGGATTTTTTTTTTTTTGACCAAGAAAAAATCCTATTTTATTGATCTACAAATGTAACAGAGGGGAATTTTCAATAAATGTTTAAACGGCCTGCCATAAATCTATGTAAAACTCAAGCAGCGTTCTTCTAACCATTTCCCTCTCCTTTGCAGGTGTAGGGCTGTTGCTGTCTTTTAAACACTATATTCAAAATCAAGTTAATGTGGGGTGAAATGGGGGACCTACTGATACCTGTTGGCATGTTGACTCTTCAAATTGGGACTCTATTAATGGCTTTACATACTTGTTACACATACTCAACCTTCAGTGGACCTACTCAGGTGATTAAACTAACTCACACCAGCCTTTGTGAAGCCAAAAACGGGTTTCCAACCTAAGGAGAGATCAATTCAGAGTTGAGGATTTGAGTTTGTTAAACCTGCTTTACTTTTAGGGTAGTGAACAAGGAATGTTGATGGTCCTGGGCTGCCAAATCTTCTGCAGCTTAACACGTAGTTGCATAGTCTTGGTGCTGCATGTTATACATTTTTAGGCTTGTTTTTCCTTTTAGGTCATGGTAGAGCAGATGTATAAAGTGGTTCATTTAGTTCACACTTCCCTAACTGTTAGATGGTGCTCTTCCAGCAGCCTGAGTAACGTGCAATTTGTAATCTGACCAATGAAATTGCAGGATAAAGTAGCTGCAGGTTCATAGGGATGTATTTTCTACAAAATGTGTAGTACTGAACCAGCAGTTTGACTGAAATGAGTATAATGCCACAATATGATCTGTCTCACGACACAGCCCCTCCCACTCCCATGGGGTGCAGATGGCAAGAAGATCCATGCATTCGAGTGGACATGGACTGTGGACCACCAAGCTTTCAAAGTCATGAAAACAATTAAACATTAAAAGAAAAATCAAAATAAAATCTTGTGGAATTAGGGCTGAAACAATTAATTGGATTAATCATGATTAATTGATTTACAAAATAGTTAGTTGCAGCCCTAGTTTGAAAATTGGTTGAAAAAATTGCAATTTTGAGTGAAATCATTCAGCTCTAGTCAAAAACAATGTGACTGCAAGCAGTGTGTGGAAATATCAGTTCATATTTTTTTCCTGAATGAGTCATGTTATTGAGAAAGCTCTGTTTACAGAAATGTTTTACAAAGTTTGAGAAATCAGAATCACAGGTCACAGAAACATACACAGGCACATAAAAAAACAAGTGGGATGATGCACAATAAGTTAAAGTACTAATGTGAGTGTAAACACTAATGATTGCTTACCAAATGTGTTTTGTTTATAAAATGTTTGAAAATGCAGTGATCCAACCACCCAATTCACAAAGCTGGGGTTTCCACAGCCTCTGGACAGAGAGCCAAAAGGTTTTAGCATTTTGATTTCTGTGAATGAATAACTTTTATATTTAAAGAACATTAAATGCTATCATGGAAAATTGTACTTTTGCTGGATTTCTCCATCTTTATTCATAGTTACCTTGCATATCCTCGGCTAAGGTGGTCAGTGGTTAAAATGCATGTGATCTCCTATTTCAGGAGCTCATGGCCATCAAGGCCAGGGTTCAGGAGCTTGAAATGGAAGAAGAGACTGAAAAACTGAAGGAGGAGGAGGAGAGGTGTGACGCAGAGGAGATGCAGCTCTTGACCAGCAGTCCCCGGCCTGGTAGGAAAGACTTGTTTCTGAAATGACACACAGTTGGGCACATCATCACAGAGAATCAGTCAGAATGTTGTATGCTCAAGCTAATACCCTTGCTCGTAAAAAATTGGTGCTTGTACTGATGTGGTAAAAGTGGAACTTTTCAATGCATATTGTACCTCTGTACACTGCTCACCTGTGGTCTACATATAAAAAAATCTAGCCTGCAAAGGCTACAGGTGGCCTATAGTGATGCTTTGCAGGTACTTTTGAAATGGCCAAGATGGACTAGTGTGAGTGAGATGCTTGTCACGGCAAGAGTCAATACCTTGTATGCTGTTTTACTACAGTTGATGTATAGTTTTATCTGTAGGATAAATGCATCTGGCAGTGATATTGTCACTTACTGACACCAAACGTATTGCAATCCAATACCAGTCTAAGCTCTGGAGACATTGGTATTCCTGTCTACTTAAATATCCTATCTAATTGTAACTTGTACTCTTATTGTGCTTTTCTACCTGTATTTTTATTTTTATCTTATACATTTATTGGACCAGGAGTCATGAATAAGGTCCATCTATAGATAGAGCTTTCGGTCGTACAACTAAATCCACACTGTGCTCTCAGGGCTCTCTGTGTAGTAACTTTTTCTCTTTAGACTAGGTGTGTAGCTTTGCAGCCTCCAGGTGGCTGAGGTAACCACATATTTGCTCATCTGGCTAACACCTGGGACACCTCACAGTGGTCACAACTGTGTTCACATGTGCCTCATCACTGCCCAATGAGACGCAGCAGTGAGCTCCAAAGAGCCAGAAGTGTCTGTCTTGCTGCCTGTGGCTATTTTCTGCCTCTGTGCATCTCCCCAACCCTCCCCTTTTGCCATTCTAAAGTAACTGAAATGTGTTTTAGAGCAACTTTTTAAATGGTTTATTTGCTAAAACTCAGCGATCATTCTGAAACATGTTAAACTTGAAGACACCTTGTTTTCCTTTTTTTTTTTTTCTTTCTTTTTAACCACAGGACCGTTTTACTGTATGACCCCGGAGGAGAGGATAGATGCAGACAACAGATCAATTTATGTTGGAAATGTAAGGCGTACATATTTTCTATACACAATGGTATTTTTCAGCTTTAATGTCTGATCTGACTAACTGATCACATTTCAGGTAGATTATGGAGCAACTGCAGACGAGCTGGAGATCCATTTCAATGGCTGTGGTCCCGTAAACAGAGTTACCATCCTGTGTGACCGGTTTTCCGGCCATCCCAAAGGGTGCCACAATTTCCTTTTTATGTCTGCTACCTTTTCCGTGTACTCCATCTGTGGAAAGGCCTAGGCCTATTCCATGTGTAACGAGTGTCCTTCCTGTCCCTCACAGCTTTGCTTACATCGAGTTCTCTGATCGAGATTCTGTGCAGAGTGCCATTGGTTTGCATGAGACGGTGTTCAGAGGACGGGTTCTTAAGGTAAATCTACATAAGAATGCAGCATCTGCAGTATCTATTTTATCCTTTGCTGTATTGCTTCTGGTGTTTCAAAGTAGCAAGATGTTTTAGTACTGGAATCTAGTTATGATCATACATTTTGTGCTGACAATTATGAACATGCCTTTAAGGCATGTTAAGTCAAGCCAATAGAATGGATTCTACTCAAATTGAATCCATAGTTATGAAATCTAATTCCTTCTTTTGCTGGTGGCATAACCTCAGAGCAGCTTCATTAAATGATTGCAATGTTGGTGCAGGTCCTGAAACAATAAAATGTGTTTTATTTTTGGTTTATGTTAAACTAGTACTTTAAGCTTCATTTTTACCCGCATGCATTTACTGTTTTTTCTGGATACATGCATTATGTATCATTCTACCTTCTGGATTTGTTTGAACTCACACCTCCTTTTTAATCTGAAAGGAAGCACAAAGAGGCTCCGCCTATGTCCAACAAACACCTCTATTGTCCAGTCAGGATCTAGAAGCATCTTCTCTTTTCCCAACTTATTTTCTTTCTAAGAGTTTTTATGTTTAGGGAAAATTGATGTTTATGTATAATGCATTCAAAATACTTGCTTGAATCCAGTAACCAACCCCAAACTTTAATCATTCCAGCTATGCAACTACCGGTACGTTTATAGTGCAACCCATTGAGCTGTGTGAAATCTGTCCTCAATTAAAGGGCAGTATTTTTGCTACATGCTCTTGGTAGGAGCATGGTGAGGGTGCTCAAACATAAAAGGTAAATCGCACTTATCTTTATGTTTTCAGGTGTTGCCCAAAAGAACCAACATGCCTGGTATCAGCACCACGGACAGGGGAGGACACAGAGGAGGTCACACCAGAGGAAGAGGCCGTGGCTACCGTCCCCCCAGGTACCAGAACAGTTCTCGAGGCAGATTCCGGTATCAGTCTTCAAGACCACAGCACCAGCCCCCCCACCCTTATTACGGAGGACCATCGCCTGGAAAGAGACAGTGGGGCCACATGGACTACCATGAACAAACTCCAAAACGTTACCCCTGTCTCCTCCTCATCACGCCACCTTCAGAGGATCTTGGGGCTGCGTCAAGTGGACAGCATTACCCTCAGCAGCGTTAGCACTACTAAATGAGTTTGTTGGCTGATTGGTTGTGTTTTTTTAAACTGTAAATGCTTTCCAGCATAATTTAAGTATTATGATGTCTAGCATTGGCTAATGTGTCAACTATTCATCCAGGTGAGATCTTAGAAAAACTGACTGGGATTAATCTGTCATAAGGTTGTTGCTGTGAATGCATGTGACGGTTCTCAAGCTGCATCTGTTTTTAAAAACTGTGGTTTTGTTTTGTAATGTGTAACCCTTCTGTGTGTAACTGACAAGCTCTTTGCTACTTAAATAAATAAAAATAATTCAACACTCCAAGTGTAGTAATCTATTTAAAATAATGTGAAACAGCGTTTCAGGTTTATTAATAGTTTTATTTTTATTTTCCAAGAGTAAAGACATGTAGAAAGGAAAAAGGGTCATATGTACAGTGGATGCTCAAAGGTTAACTGGATGAGATGTCAGCCTGTTTGAACCATCATTCCAGAGACTATTCCATTGAAGGCCCTGAATAATGAAGAGAAAAAGTTCAAATGAATTTCAAACTTTTTTTTTTTCTCTGAAGCAGATGTAAAAAGGAAAACAAGCTTACTTTGATTGAATTGGATCCCCAGGGTTATAGAATGGGTTGCACATTACATCGGTGAAAGAGTTGTGCAATTTTCTAAACATCTGAAATACAAAACAGTATAAACATGATCAGCACTGAATGAGATGAACATAGATTGTTAAAAACCTTTGTTTTTAATATGAATTCATTAGGGCTGTTTCAGAAAGGGGGATACATGAGAAATCTGAATAAGTTCAAGGTAAGTCCCTGAATGTTCCAGATTTTTAGATGGCATGTTAATTTATACCACATATTACTCTGAATGACTGTCTGATGTTGAGTGTTGCACATAGAAGTGGAGATCAAACAAGAAAAGCACCAGAAATAGTGTGTCCTTTACAAAAGGACCCTGTAGATGTGAGGAACTGCTCATTATGCTGCATTTTAACACAGAGCCATATATTAATAAGCAAAGTTTTCATCAGGATTCCGTTTAAAATGTCAGCCAGAGATCGTATGACAATGCACTTCATTTTTATGCTGTGTGCAAACTGTCAGGGATTCAGTGATAAATGCCCAAAATGCCTTATTTCTTAACTAGTCCAAATGCATTCCATCCATTTTCTTTACACGCTTAATTCCAAGTGGAGTAGCGAGGGGTGCTGGTGATCTCCAGTTGTCTACGGGCGAGAGGCAGGTCGCCAGTCCATCACAGGGCAACATAGAGACAACCATTCACACACCTAATGATAATTTAGAGAAGCCAATTAACCTAACAGTCATGTTTTTGGACTTTGGGAAGAAGCCGGAGTACCCGGAGAGAACCCACGAATGCTCAGGGAGAATATGCAAACTCCATGCAGAAAGACACTGGGCCGGGAATCAAACCCAGAATCTTCTTGCTGAAAAGCAGCAGTGCTACCTACTGCGCCACTGAGCAGCCTTAGTCCAAATGCCCACTAGATCATAATTTCTAGGAACTGATTTCCTTCCTGACATGGTGTCCGAGCGCTCAAGTCTTTTTTTTTTTTTTCTCTCTTCACTGAACAGCTTAGGTTTTGTTCAATTATATTTTATAACTGAGCTTTGCAAAGAGAAAAGCTCCAATAACTTGGAATGTAGCATTGTATTTACATTACAACTCCAACACATACAGTTTTATTTTTCCTTTTTAAAAATCCACATGAATAAAATAAAACATGCAGACCTGCTGGTATCAGTTAAAGGCAATAATTTAGTACGGTATGTAATGTATCACATTCGGATATTTCAAGCAATATCCATTTGTATAGTTCTGGGTTTCCAAGCATAACTAGAAGCATATATGATATTCACATGAATTGTTTAACTAAATAAAGAATATGTTTGTTTTTTTTGTTTTTTTTAATATTTTTAAGTTCGCTTTATTTGTTTAAACATGTTTCCAGGTATTGTTGTAAATATATTTGACCAGCTATTTCAAAGAGAGGGTCAGAAAACATTTCAGTTACATATGTTCTCTTTTTGCCAATAGGTCATTAACCAAGGCTTAAATTCTTACATATTTATAATATTTGTTAAGTGTCGTTCAGTAGGTAAAACGCCTCAAAATAACAAAAGCTGACATACCTCATTTAATTGCATTTTTAGATTTTATCTTGATTTACTGTTATGTCCTGCTAGATTACACCCAGAAACATATTTCCCACACGTGTTATGTTGAAGACTTTAATTCTTGATCTAATCCTCAATCATGCTTTAACTGGTCTCTGCTTCTTATTTCCTCTATTGCCAGGATGGATACTATTTTTAGCATTCCACTAATGAGAGCTTCTTAATACATTTACACACTTAATACATACAAAACTCTGGGCTTGCTTAACTCAGAGTCGAGTTGGCCGATCCCTGTGCTGAAACTGAAAATCCTGCATATCACAAAGCTTACCAACAAAGTGGACTCAGGTTACCTGCTCTCTACACAGAAAAGATTAACCCCATGCTCTAAAACAGGACCCCGAAATAGGAAATAATAGTTGCTTGATCATCTAAACCTCCGTAAAAATTGTGACATTCACCACACAGGTGTTTAATAAAACGATGCCATTGTGGTAAAGTAAAAAAAAGACACAGTTATTTTAATACATAATAAAACAATAACAGACTGACAGATGACATGGATTCAAATAAATGGAAAAACACAGAGACATCAATGTTTTTTTTATGTCCTGTAACTAAAAAGTAAAAACGATATACTTACACTTCGTATTTCATTGTCCCGTAATGATGTATTGGAGGAGTCCACAACAATCACAAATTTAACCTTGGAGTTGGTTACATACCCATATCTATGTCCTCCAGTTAAGGACACAAAAAAAGGCACCAAAACACAAAACTTTGAGTGAACTAAACGTTTTCTCCTTAAAGTAAAATCAATAATGATATGTATATTCGTAGTGGCTGGGGTTTAAAAGTAAAGGATACACTTTATAGTCTTCAGTTGGATAGAGCAGACCCAGGTAGAGCTCCCTCTGGTCACCTATGGATTTCCCCACAGCTGAGACCTTCTCCTCCACCACATCCAGAGAGGTGTGAACCGTGTAGTGGAATTTCAACTCGTTTTGAGATGGCACACTGCGTATGTATAGTGGGTAGTTCTGGGGAAAATGTCAGAAGACAATAAAAGCAAAACATTTCATAAATAAATCTTTAAGATCTCTAAAAAAAAAAGAAGTCGGAAATGGAAACAGTAGGATAGCCAGTACGATGCTAACATTAGCATTGCGTTATTATCTAATACTGGTCGTAGACAAGAAGCTAAAAATCTCCTAGAAGCGCTTAATGGTTTTGCGAAAACCCCTTAACCCTGTAAAGTACGTTACAACAAAATTATTAACAAGATATCGGTACCTCTTTAGCGATCACTGCTATGCAAACCGCCATGTTTTTGTTCTCCCTGCAGCTGACTGCTGCTGTCACGTGATCAGTTGCATTCAAATGCTGAAGAAAAATACGAGTGTCTAATCAGAAATCCATTTGAGATCTGATTTAAGGTGACAACGTGCTATATTAGCAATATCTGTAGGGTTTTATCGTGGATTATAAAAAAAAAATTGATAAAAATTTGTATGCATTATCTCTGTCTTATTTTTGTCTGGGTAATATAAACATTACTGCGATTTTAAGAGATTCGCTTAACGAATACAACAAAGCATACATATATTCAATATTTCACAACGTTTAACTGACAGTAAATTGAGCTTAAAAAGTATAAATTAAAGTGAATGTAAAATTAACAGTAAAAATAAGTATAAGCTTGTTTCATTCCAGGCGTAACTGTGTTGGCAGATGGACGCGAATGCAACACGCCTCTTCCGTGATGCTAGCGCTCATATGACTTCAGCACAGCAATGAAAGTAGTCTGTAGAACAAGTTTTCTTCTTCTTAGTATAACGATATGTTGTTCATTGACAGAAAAGCTGTCAAATGGTTCATCACCAAACATTATCATCATGCTCATGGATGACGTAAGTATTTTCTGACTTAGACTGATTTTACAGCCCAGCTTATGCTCGATTTATGCAGTTATGTGTGTTTCTTACTTCCTTTATTAACTCTGTGTTCACGTGTTGTTGTTTTTTTTTGGCATATATTCCTCTACAAACATGTGACTGGCTTCCTGTGCTGTTTTTTTTAGATGGGTTGGGGGGATTTGGGGGTGCTCGGTCAGCCTTCTAAAGAGACCCCCAACCTGGATGCCATGGCAACCCAGGGGATGCTCCTAACAAACTTCTACACCGCCAACCCACTGTGTTCCCCATGTGAGTTAGCAGAGACGTTTGTGCAAAATATAAAAGTCACCAAGGCTTGTGTTTCATATTGCAACATTTGATATGTCTATTCACTCTCATACCTTTAGCTGTTTCATAGTTAAAGCACAACTTCCTCATGATGTGATGATAAACATTTCCTAGGAAACTCCACAAATGTTCCTTTATTTGAAGATGAGGTGAAATTAAACGTTTGATTAAACCAAAATGAGTTTTAAGTTAAATATTTTCTCACTTTTTAGTAATAGATTGGCTACATATATTTAAAAACCACCACATGTTACACAAAACAGTGAATCTGATGGTTAACATGTGGCAGATCTAACAACTAGGATAACCTGGGTACCATCTGTTTTTTTGTCATTTTTTTTATTATGTGAAGAATTGTATTCTTGTGTTTTACTTAGGGCTAAAGCAATTAATTGGATTAATCAATTATTGAAATAATCATCAACAAATAACAGGATTGCACAGACTGTAAAACATGCCTTTAGCAGACAGAGCGACGTATTTAGAACAGTAATTATACCAAAATGTAAAAGAAAAAAGTACAAATTTTGCATTTAAGATAAAAAACAACAACAATGTTGTTTTCTGTCAATATGCTCTATCCAGAACTCCTAAAGTAGAAAAGTTTTAGTTTCACCTGGTTTAATTTAGTAAAAAGTGTTCTTTAAGGAACCTTTGGCTATCTGATTATTAATCGATCAATCTAAAAAATAATCTACAGATTATTTTTTTGCAAAATAATCGTTAGTTGCAGCCTTGGTTTGAATAAAGGCCCTTTACATTGACTAACCATAAAATCTTCAGAAATAGTTGCTTATTAATGGTGCCAGAATGTTCATTTATAACAATATTGGATACCATTTAGTATACATTAAGATTTGATTTATGGGGAGCTGGTATATCTGGAGCTGTGGTAGAGTGACAATCCAGAGTTAGTTCTGGGGAAAATTCCTGCCTTAGCAATGTCATATCCTTTTCTCAGATGCTGTTGAAATCAGAGTGCAAATACTCCAAAGATGTTTTCATTCGGAAAGAATAGACCACGATTACCGGTAGATGTTCTATCGTTCCCAAAGTAACATCTCTTTTTAAGATTTTCTTTTATAAAACCATCAGATTTATTTTCAGAAAGCCTTAAATGAGCTTGCTGCATATGAAATATTTTTGGAATCACATCATACTTTACTTGTACTTTATGTACAAGGCCATAAAAGTGTCCGAGTTACCAAAAGTTCTAATCAGTAGGTGCATGAAGCCAACAAAACCTGACTGCCAAAGACAGACCACATAAAAAAAGAACTTACACATCTTGTATTCTAAAACGTTCAGGAATAATTATTCATTGTTAAAATACAACTGTTTAATTCTGTACCTTGCCTTTAATACAAACATTAAATCAAGTATTTTAATCTTTTTTTGCAGTGAAATGTTAAGCAACTTCATTACAGTTTCCATATTGGTGCAAGAATGCAGAATATTCAAATAAAGGATTTCGAAATCTTAAAATCTGTTTTGTCCACAGCAAGAGCTGCACTTCTCACAGGGAGGCTCCCTGTCAGGAATGGATTCTACACCACTAATGCTCACGCTAGGAATGGTAAACTCTCCTCATGCTTTACATATGTTCGTTAAAGGTTCTCTTTCTATATGGTGTGTATAACCAGGTCTTGTTTTGGATTGTTTTTATGCTGCACACAGTTACTGATTTCTTCCATTGCTTTTTTTTCTCACACTTAAGTGTTTCCGATCACCAAACAAATTTTATTTTTGAAGATAAACTGAGTGAATTTTAAAAATGAGGTTTCAAATTCTTATTTTGTTTAAGGGAAAAAGGTTATTCAAACCATATTAGTCCTATATGGAAATAAAATCCGTCTATTTTCATTGGCGGTATCAAAAACTGACTACAATGAACAACTTTCTGTTTGTCTAGTTGTCCTCACCACATCTTGACCCGGTTAGTGTCTGACCAATAGAATTAAAAAATCTAGTGAATGGAACCTGTATGACAACATTATCCAGTGAAGTATAGTATAGAGCCGTTATCCACATTTGAAGAAAACATGAAACTGTAGAGAACCTTTCCAGGATTGGCTGGTCTACCAGTATTACTCCATGAATCATAAAGGAGGTGAAAAAGGATAAACTAAAGCACTGCCAGTCCCACTAACTTCATTTAAGTCAAATATTCACATCTCCATAATGTGTTTAGGACTCAGCTGGTATTAAATGCTGCATGTCTGGATGAGTTTGAAATTTGATCAAAAAGAAATAAAAAGCATAGTCCAAAGTATTGAGGAAATATTAGTTGTATTCAAAAGATAAAAGTTGAATTTCTTAGGTGTTGTGCATTAACCTGGCAAGCCAGATTGATGATGTGTAACTACTCACTTTAGTTCTACACCATATTAATCTGGGACTGCTCCGATCTGGGAAGGACGAGGCATTCGGCAGAACCTTCCAAGCTGTATATGCCTGCCTATCGAAGAGTAGCTTTAGCCAATTATGGAAATAGCAGCAAGCGGCATAAGAAATCACAAAAACTGAAACATCCTGTGCTGCCATGTTGATTTTAGTTACAAGTTCTTCCTTAAACCATAATCCTGCAGCATTATTGACCGACCCATTTTGGATCATCTTGAACAGTTGAAGTTGGACAAGATTTATTCTTGTGTTCTTGTAACGCCACAAATACCCCCAAAATTTGGTTTGCATTTTCGTTTAGGTGAGCCTCCCACCTAGTATAGGGATCTAAACAGGGATTAAGAGAACCACCATCATACCGATAGATAAACATGGTAGAGGCAGTGTGAGAGTTTGGGGTTGCTTTGCTACTTTCATGAGAGACAACTTGCTGTATTTGATGGAAACACAAATTTTGGTCTCTGCCAGAATTTTCTAACTGCAACACCTGACAATCAGCTGGGGACCTTGAGCTCATGCATACTTGGAATATCTTAGGAGAAATAATCCAAAGCTTTCTGGTTCACCTTTTACTGAATAAAAAAAAAAGAAAACGGAAAGTAAAAAGGGAATTTCAAAGTGGTCTAGTCAAAGCACTGCTCTAATGCCAGTTGAAGGAGCTGTATGATTAATGACTCTTCAGTGAGGCTGAATAATAAAAATCTACAAAGAAGGGTAAGGCAGTTTATCTTTAAAGAATAGAAATCACTTTAAAATGAAATGTGTATTGGGGTTATCTTTGTCTCAAACATTTAAGTGTGACAGAATAGCAAACCAGGAAACAAATCTGTAAGGTTTGAATACGTGTTATAAAGAACTATATCTTTGCATTTAATTGATTGCTTATAATTGCGTAATATGAATACATGCTTATATGTTTATTTATTTTCTTTTTGTTTTGTTTCTGTAGCTTACACACCACAGGAGATAGTGGGAGGAATATCCAAGGATGAGATTTTGTTGCCTGAAATGCTGAAGAAAAAAGGTTATGTCAGCAAGATAGTTGGCAAGTGGTGAGCTGTTTTTTTTAAGGAGTGTTTAACTTATTAACCAAAAAAAATTCAATTGCTCTAAACGTTTCAAGACATTGGGTACGTTTCAGTAAGCAGACTCAAATCCTCAACACTGAATTGATTATCAGTGGCCATTATCAGTGGATCCCCGATTCGACGAGTTACCATGAGGACAGGCAACAGGAAGTGCTGCTTTGGATGTTGTCATCCCAATAAATGGCCGTTATTACTGGTTATCAGTCCCATAGAATGGCTTAAGATTTTGCCTCCTACCTCCTAGGACGCTCAGAAGGTTATCACCAAGTGAATCCTAATCCTAACCCAAAGGTAGTACCCTTCCCCCTAGACTTTATTAATCTATTTATGTGTAATCTGAAAATAATTTCAATAGTTCTTCATGTATTGTACAAATTGGAAAGAAAAAATATCTGCATGTTGCAAACCAAAAAACAAAAAAATCTCATATCCTGTCAACTGAGTTGTTTTTAATCACCAGATTAAATCTGTGTGACTGAAATGTATAATTCATTCAAAGTAAACCTTTAAAACTTAGTTGATTTTTTTTTTTTTTTTTTGGATTGGTACACTTTAAATAATGTAGATAAAAACTATAAAGTAGGTCAATGAAACTTACTGTTATCAGTGATAAACTGCATATAAGAAACCACTAGAAGGTAGAGGAGGAACACGCTGAAGCCATTCTATAGGACTGGCGCTATTTGACTGTACAGCTGTATTTTATATAATGTTGTTTTCATACACACAACAATGTTCTGTGTAAAAGTCTGTGTCATGCTGCAAATGTGAGGATGGATAAGGTTGTGGATGAATGTGATGGAATGGCGAGGGAAAACAGATGTGCTCATAAACATAATTATCTGAATATTAAAGGTACGCATTCCTTCTTTGTTAATTAATTCTTTAATAAGATCCTCATCAAGAAGGACATGCAATGTTTGTTTTTAAAACCTGATGTGTCTAACGGACCTGCTTCTGACTCTGGGGAGAATGTTACTATGTTAACTGAAACAGAGGTTAAAGAAACTCTTTCTGAAACGGAAAAAAACAAGAATTTCTCTAATTTCAGGTTTAGAAAACTTCGTGAAATGGACCCTTTACAGGCTAAATAAGCAAAATCTGAATACATTATCACTCCAATTGGGATATCGCTGTAATTGTCATTTTTTTTGTCAGATGACATTCAGCTTTGTCAATATCAGACACACTCCCATCGTAGTGAAACCAAGGAAAATGTGGAAAAGCCCTTTATGCCCAGTATTAAGTACGGTGAAGGATGTGTGGTGCTGTTTTCCTTCCCATGATCAGGGTAACCCTTTTAGTGGTCATTACCCCACAGGCGGTTTAAAAAACTAACAATTGTAATATAAAAATGTTTTGGTTTATGCTGGATACTATAAACAGGTTTCCATGAGTGAGAAAGAAACTGAATGAAGACCAGGAGAGATTGTGCAGAAGTTTAGAATAAAAATGAGCTGCGTCTGATGGTCATGGTAGTTATACAAGGAATTTCCAAAGCACACTTTCTCAAATATTATGTTTTTTTAATTGAATACTACAGCGAAAGCTGAATTTATCTGAAGACATTCAAAAACAGGCACCAGGGTTGCCAGTAAATGGACTGTATGTTCAGTCTAAATGTTTCCAACATCCATTTTATATATGTTTTTTCTATTTAAAGCCACATAAATAATGTTGTAATTACTATTATTATTATTCATGTATTTATCCTGATGGACTTGCGGCATAGAGCACAAACAAAACACCCACCAGCTGATGTTACATCAGTGGTATATATGCTCTTTGTATAGTAATTATCCAATCTAATCTCTTCAAACGTAACCAACTTATAAACTAATTGGGTACAGCAAAGGCATCCAGGTAATTATCAGTGTCTATGCTGAATTAGTGGGTCATCTAAACATTCTAAAATAATGTGAAACTCATTGTACAGCCTTAATCATAACTCTTAGCAACCTTTGATTTCTACAGTTGGATTATCTAATCAGTGTTGGCTGGTCTTCATCTCCTAGATTCCTTATGATAACCACTTTTGTTATGTCATTTATTTTCTTTTTACACTATGGATTATCTGTGCTTTAAGTTAATTGAACTGTTATGAAATACTGTTGATTGATGTCTTCTGTTTATTATTAATTTAGGATAGTTTATGGATCACATATTGACATTGTCCAATCATTATAAAACAGGCCTGTATTGGATTTAAATGCAGAAATAGATGAAAGAATGAGCATTTTAGACTCTCTTCTGTGTATAAATGAGCAGTTTCTGGGTGGTTATGGATGGAACCAAACACAGAATATCAGTCAAAACTCTAAAAATACAGAATAAAGAAATATAGAATTTTCGCAATGCCATAAAATGTGCCGACATCATCGCCACCCTACCCAAAACTGATCGGCTAATGTGTGATTATGCAAGTATTGATGTTGCAAAGATACAAATTGAAACAGCCCTGCATGTGTTTGGTAGGATAAAAATATGTTGTACTGTAGTTTAAAACACAAACATCTGCTTTGTTTATTGAACATAATATACAGATTGGTTAAATGTCTGCAATCTGTTGAGTTAATGTAACATTAGAAAACTTTATTTCCTATTAATTAATTGCACACCTTCTTTGTTATTGCAGGCACCTGGGCCACAGACCGCAGTACCTTCCTCTACAGCACGGTTTCGATGAATGGTTTGGCTCCCCAAACTGCCACTTTGGCCCCTACAACAGCAGCTTCCGACCAAACATCCCCGTCTATAACAACTCTGAGATGATTGGAAGGTATCCTCAAACACAGTGGGCTAACAGCACAGATGCAGAGACAAATATCCGATTCTGTTTTCCCCACCTGACTTGGTTGTAAAGTTTGTTTTTCTGCTCCTCTGGATGAGCTCAGTGACTCCCCCTCCATCTACACGTCCTCCTCTGTACCAGCTGGGCCTGTGTATTCCATTTTCCGCCCATTTGTTTTCCCCAAAACAGCCATATGTGTATTCAGGGTCATTGGAGCCGGCAGCCGGGCGTGTTTTTCGCTTAGCCGTGGGTTTAATCAGCGCTGTATACCTGGGCCCTGGACAAAAAAACACGCACACACACATAAAGAGGCGTGCATAGTCAGAGACACACACACACGCCCTCAAGAGACGGCAGGTTGCGCCGCCTCTGTGCGAGGACACCTGGAGGAAGTGAAGCATAAGAGAGAGATTTCTGTCTTTGCTTCTACGCTTCAGTAGCGCCTCATAACAGTTCCCGCCGCTCTGCTTTGCTGAGACTTCGCACATATGTCTTTCCAACAAAATATTCCTGCAAGCACCATCAACAAGTGGAAAATTAACTTTTCTTGTCCTAATGATATTATCTGGACCAGTTTAAATCATTTTAGAAGGGGATTAGAAATCCATCTGGTACTGTGCTCAATGGAGAGGAAATAAATCAGGCTGTAAAACTGAACAAACAGCCGAGGTCAGACTTAGTTTAGTTGGAATAATGGCTCACTGCAGGTGAAGGGGTCAAACAGAAATAATGTGAGCATTTTATTTCACAGATATTATGAAGAGTTTAAGATCGACCTACGAAGCGGAGAGTCCAACCTTACTCAGATGTATCTGATGGTGAGTGTCCACTTTACAACTCATCCTGCAGCCATTCAGGCTCGGATCATCTGAGCCTTTTTGGTGGGAAAAAAAAACTCTCCTGGTTTTCATCTTTTCAGGGAATATAAAACAGCATGGCAGAGGGCTGTTTCTGAGAGACATGAAAGCACAGAAATAAATTGTCTGTAACAAATTAGAAAATGCATTTTTTATTGTTGCACATCTTTCACCAGTGGAGGTGGATTATTGACTTCTTCACACTATTGCAATGAATCTACATCGGCCTCTCCTATTATATTCCTGAAACAGGATCAAAAGCATCATGCTGAGGCACACTGCAGGCTTGAAAGATGTAATTTATCTCCACGTTAGGAGGATGCCTCTGCTTCTTAAAGCTCATTTTAGTAAGTCTTTGGAAGCTGGAGTGGTGTCAGATGACACCAAAAAGGAGGTTCAGTATATAGCAATATAATCTGCTTAGGTAGGTGGACACTAAATTTGCTATCCAATAGGTGTGTTTTGACAGATATAGATTAAAAATAGCATAAGAAAAATGTTTCGTTTTTAATAATTAGAAGAATCTTTTTACATACTTTTAATTAGATTCCACATTAACAACGTTAAACAGTAACTTTCAGGTTGAATTTTCGGAAATAAGCTGTTTTTATTTTGCTGATTTTAGTCTGTTCTTCTCACATCTTCAAAAGATCTAAAGTTATTTATATTAAATCTAATTCTTTTTGCAAATGTACCACAAAATGGTATCTGATGGCTTCTGTCTAATTTTTTCTCTTTAATTTTTTTAATGTAAGCCTTGTAAAATACATACTTTTTGTATAAAATAAACCAGATTAAATATTTTATATTCATATAAAATAGAATAAGCAGGGCGTGCTTTGGTTGCGGAGTGCTAAGCACACACCACCCATGTATGGAGGCCTTAGTCCTCAATGTGGCCGACCCGGGTTCGAATCCTACCTGTGGTCCTATGCTGCGTCTCTCCCCGCCTCTCTCGTACCCCCTTTACTGTCAGCCCACTTTCCAAAAAAATGAGCCACTATTGATGTAAAAACTAACAAAATAAAAAAAAAAATATATAGAATATCCTACTGAGAAACATATTTGCATTTTATTGTTTAACTGACAAAACCATTATCTAAAAACTATGCTAAAGCTTTGCTAAGACAACTTTTGAAAAAAAGAGGAAAACTTTTCAACATCTTTGTTAGGTCTTTGTTTGGTAACAGTAAATCTGCAACCTCTGCAGGAGGGTATGGACTTCATACAGCGGCAGACTCAAGCCAAGCAGCCCTTCTTCCTCTACTGGGCCCCTGATGCCACCCACGCCCCGGTTTACGCCTCCAAAAGCTTCCTAGGAAAGAGCCAGCGAGGCCGGTTAGTAGTAGATAGTAGATCAGTAGATCCACATGATCTTGGTTTAGGGAGGTTTAACTCCCTTATTGCTGACTATTTAATTAATATTCAACCCTACTAGAGTTACATAAGGTAAGTGAATGCATGTGTCAAAAATCTATGCTGTTCAGTTATGGAGATGCGGTCATGGAGCTGGACTACAGCGTGGGTCAGATCCTGTCCCTGCTTCATGGTCTGGGCATTGAAAAAAACACCTTTGTCTTCTTTACATCAGACAACGGGGCGGCTCTTATCTCGAGCCCTCATGAAGGTATTCCATACTTTTTTTAACTCTTAAATATATATAGTAGTTATGCTTAATTATATTTCTTCTTTTTTTCACTATGGGATGTATCGATTCATTTGGTTTTATGGCTCTGATTCCTCAGGTGGCAGCAACGGGCCGTTTCTCTGTGGGAAGGAAACCACGTATGAGGGGGGCATGAGGGAGCCCGCCATCGCCTGGTGGCCCGGACACATCAAGGAAGGCACAGTAAGCCCACCTTCATCCTTCTGCCAAAATGCGGCTCAGTGCCATGAAATCTTGAGCTTGAGACGGATGTTTTCTCTGTAGAGCTGCAGGCAGTTCTGATAATTATGAGACAGGTAGTAAGAGAATGACTAATTACTCCAATAATCTTTTTCTTTGAATAACTCAGGTTTTGTGTGCTTATGATTTATTTTTGTATCATGTAGGAATTTACATGTTCGTACTTTGATCCACCAGCTCTGTTCATTTTGAGTTGGCACTACTTTTATCAAAACTGCAATTTCAGCCACAAAGCTTTTTTTTTTTTCTTAACTGTTGCCTCAAATATTTCTAGCTGAAATAAATGCCCCCACTCTCATCTTTTTTTCTTTTCTTCCCATTCCTCAATATAACCCCCCCGCCCCACCCGCAGTGTGATCCCCTAAGCCTGTGCGTTCTGCAAATGACTTTTAATTGTATTAGGGGCAGCTGTGACACGGGGCTGTGACGCAGAGGGATTTTGTGGAGGAGTGAGCGGAGGCTGCAGTCTGCAGTAAGCCTTGCCCCTGGCTCATCTCACAGGGTTGTGCTGGGCTCTGATAGCGCAGCGGAGTAGCGAGAGAGAGGAGGATTGGGAGCGTCTTAAGCGGCTAATCTGTTTGTGTGTTTGCTGAGGTTGGATTGAGCCGTAATGAGGACTTCAGTATCTGAATATGCCAGGCGTTCAGGATAAAGAAACAGAGGGGGTGGGGGAGGAGTTTAGGAAAGGAAGCAAGGGGAGAAGTAAAATAGGTAGGTGCTGATGAAAAGAGAAAGAGCAATGGTAAATATAGAGCATATTGCAATACTTTCCTGCCCCTGTGAGGTTTTTATAATTGATAAGCTTTTTGCTTAATAGATAACTTAATAAATTCTTCTATTTATGCAGAAACAAACGTGTGTGCTTCTATATGTGGATATATGTGAGTTTTAAAGAGTTGTGTTGAAGCTTCACTTGGCTTTAATGATAAACATGCTTTGTTGGAGCTTCTGAACTCCACAGATTTGGATTTATTGTTGCTCCATTGTTGCTGCTTGGGAGGGAGGACAAACAAGACACAGGGCTGGCCTAAATTCATATTCTGGACTCTATTGATCTCTGGTTTATGGAGGCCTTAACAGCTACATGCAGGAGGCATATTAGAAAACCTTTAATAAAAGGGGATTTTCAACAGGTTTATAGTTGTTTTAGGAACACAGATTTCAGCTTCAATTGTCAAAAAACAAAACAAAAATGTATCAGTTAGTGTGCAGGAACTTTGCTGGGGGTGTATTGGAATGAGGGAGCATGGTCGGTGTCCAAACGGATGCAGATAGAGCATCCTCCTGGTCTATGAGGAGGAGGATGATGATGATCACTGTGGGTGTCTGTATGAACAGAGATGTGGAAGTGGGTGGGCTGTTAGCCGCCGCAACATCAGGAAGCATCCCAGTCCCTTTTGTTGGTTTATCAGCTTCAGACACACATCCTTACGATGGTGGAGATGGGGATAAAGGTGCCTCGTCCTCGGATAAACAAGGTTACTGCAGAGAAATAAAGGACGTCATGAGAAGGTGTGGGTTTAGAAAGATTTGAACAAAACAGGGGGTGAAAAAGGACTTATGAAGGAAAAAATGGCACGACAGACCCAGACAAATTTACATTTTTGTCATGCGAGTATTTACCAAACCAATTTCCAGTGCTGTTTCTTCCTTTTCACATTTCTCCTTTTTTCTTTAACGCTAGATATTTCTAAGAGGAGCTGAGAGAAAGAAAAATGAAGTAAGGAGCTGAATCTGTTGGTATTTGTGCTTTTCAGAGAGAGTGTCTGGATGTGCAGATAGATCATGGAACTCGCTGCAAAACCTTTTCTGTGGCTACTTCTGTGGCTCCAGAAGAAAAGAGGAATTCATGTCAGTGCTTAGGAGCAGACACGAGCACGCGGGGGAATGCGTGTGCGTCTGCATGCATGCCGGGTGCCGATAGGAGCGCGGCGGCACATGACGCTGCAGCTGCACGGGCCTGATAGCGCTATCTGATCGTGAGCGTGCCGTCTCCCTCTAAGGCTCGCTCAGGAGAGAATGGAACGGAAGATCAAGGATGACAGCGAAAAAATGGCATTTTATCTGAAAATAGTTCAAAGTTTATAAATAAAATAAAGCTTTTCACAGCGACTGGAAGAAGGAGATAAAACAGCAGCTTTAACAGCCTGCTCGCCCAGGCCGTGTCCCATCCCATGCTTCCTCTCCCTTTTCCCTTTTTTTCCCCATCCATTTCCAAAAAACTCATTTATGGGAGGAAAGGCTTTTTTGAGTTTTGATAGTAAGCCAGCATGGAGAGATCAGAAAGGAAACTAGAGGAATAGGTTTCTTCTATGCAAGCATCCTATCATCGCTATTAATAAAATGTTTCCACTTTTTCTTTTTGATTCCTGAGTCAAGTCAACAAGTGTCAAATTATGAAATCCTTTGCACAAAATAAACAGAATAACACAGTAATGTGCATGAGGTTGTCTGTGTACATTCGTATATCTAAAAGAATTTTTTGAATTAAAGAATTGTAAAGTGAAGAAATAGTGATTTCTTGTCTTTTTGTGGACCAGTCTAATACCAGCCACACATTAAAATCAGACAGTTTGTCCCTAATTTGCTTCAATTAGTGACCAGAACATCAAATCCTGAAAAAACAAAACAAAGAGACAATTTAATGAAATCTATTAGAACTAAGATCTCTTGGCACTTTTGTTTTTTAATGCATCTAAAGATCCGTTGTTTGTTTGATTTGAAACTGCTGCATCTGTCAAATCAGTTGGATAATGTTTGGGGTTTTTATCTTTTAAAATCCACAGAGAAAAAATTGCTCACCAAAATCAGGTCTGACCTTTTTACCATTTGGAGATTTGTTTTTCCAAGGAAACACCTGATCAGTTTCTCTTTTTTAACACTGATCTGATTTCTTCTCCCTTCATCCTGATGCAGGTGAGTCTCCAACCTGCAAACGTCATGGATCTGTTCACCACCAGTCTGGCCCTGGCTGGCATCAGCCCTCCAGATGAACGAATGCTGGACGGACTAGACCTGACACCAGTTTTATTAAATGTCTCCCACAAACTCGACAGGTGAATTAAAAACTCTTTTCTTATTTTTTCATTTACTTCTCTCTGGTTTCATCTGCCTTAGAGGAGGAGTTATTTCTGTTACACATCAGGGGCCATTTTTAATAAACGAAAGATCACTCTTAAAGATATAGTGGAGAATGTTCTTTTACCGAGTAGATCATCAAAATAAGTGGTCCTCCTAATTGTTTGTCGTTCTGGGGATTAACTTAAGGCCGTCCTACATGCTTGTCCCCATTTTCACTTACCAGTGGTGAGTCTGACATAGTGAAAAAATTGCAAAAGCTTGTATGAGCGATGCAAACAGCAACTGTTAAACAGAGCGTGCACGAGGAGAAATTGTCTTGTGCATGCTCCCGCACAGGTACCCCCATGCTCCCGAAGTGCAGAGGGCAGGTCTTTTCTAAAATTCTCTAAGATCTTCCACTATACCTTTAAGAGTGGAATGATAGGCAAAACATTTCTGCGTTAAAAGATGGACTTAAACAGGGTTTCCGTGGGTCATTAAAATTAATTAAAAGTCATTAAAATTCATTAAATGTGATTATTTTGGCATTTAAAATGCTTTATCTAAAAAAAAATGTTTATAAAAACAATTTCTTAAATTACATATATTTGCAAATATGCAAAAATATTGCGATATATTTGCGGAAAATAAAATAAAACCCAGATTATCGAAAAGAAGGAGTCAAGGCGGAGAAAAAGCTGTAGAATGGGGAAAATGCTAATTTCAACAAAAGTTGCTGGAAATCGAGGAATTGCAGCCTGCCGACAGGAATTTGCTGTGTATATATGACTCATGGATACTTGTTGCATTAAAACTATTTTTAAGAGCATTAAAAAGCATTAAATTAGAGTTGCTCATTCCTGTATAAACTCTGTTAAAAGTGCCTCACTCACACCTTTAGCAAAGTGTGGGACAAAATCTTTAGTGTGACTCTGGAAAAGTGTTAAAACAGCACCTGGTGCGGTAAAAGGAATTTTAGATCATGTCACTTCTAAGTTTGTTTTTTTGGCCAATGCTGAGTGGAGTTGTTTATGGATGGTTTGATGGCCCAGCATTATTTCCAGGACTGCACAGCCTAAATACTGCTATAAAATCTGGTAGACCTTTCGAAAAACACCCAAATATAAAAAAATATCTCTTAATATCATTTAAAAGTTCTGATTATCTTATGAGAAAGCTTTTGATGGCTTTTGATGTACACAGACAAAAGAATACTAAAAAACACCCTTTTGGCATTTACACAGTGTTTGGGGGGAACGGACATGCTTATTTTTGTTAATTAGGAGGCTCATTTAAGGCTTATTTAATTCACTTTCTAATCTGAGTGATCAGGGAAGTTTTACCAATCACATGCAGGACTATAAAAGATCAAACAAAAACCAAAAATTGGCTTAAAGGAGTTCATTTTGGAAAACATGCAGACATGTTGTAAGTTCATGCATTTGTACTGACTAGCTACGAGTTATTTATGTTTTTTCCAAAGATTTGTTAAAAACAACCACAACTTGGTTATGTCATGTCCAGGCTTTATTAATGAACGGCTACGGGACAATCTTACTGGCCACGCTTAAGTGACGCCACCAGCTGTTTTTATTCTTGCTGATGTTATCAGGTGTTATATTATAAAAAACTGTGATGGAAATGCAAATCACGATCCATTCCTGTTAGAGGAAAAAGGGCTTATAATTCCACCATGAAGCCCAGAAGGCGGTTAGTGGAGAAATTACGTCCCACATTAAGTCCTTAACACAAATTATAGCCGCTCTGTCCAAACAATATGGGATGATCAGCTGTGTGTTGCCAGAGCTAACACGCCTTCAGCTCCCGAACATCCCTGTTGCCTCATTGCCATCCTCTCCTACCCACCTAAGACACCTCTGGAGGTCTCTTAAATACTTGGGGGAGTGGAGG